CCCCACTTGACGTGGACGTCTTCCTCCCCACTTGACGTGGACGTGTTCCCCCCACTTGACGTGGACGTGTTCCCCCCACTTGACGTGGACGTGTTCCCCCCACTTGACGTGGACGTCTTCCCCCCACTTGACGAGGACGTGTTCCCCCCCCCCCACTTGACGAGGACGTGTTCCCCCCCACTTGACGAGGACGTGTTCCCCGCACTTGACGTGGACGTCTTCCTCCCCACTTGACGAGGACGTGTTCCCCCCACTTGACGTGGACGTGTTCCCCCCCACTTGACGAGGACGTGTTCCCCCCACTTGACGTGGACGTGTTCCCCCCACTTGACGTGGACGTGTTCCCCCCACTTGACGTGTTCCCCCCCCCCACTTGACGTGGACGTGTTCCCCCCCACTTGACGTGGACGTGTTCCCCCCACTTGACGTGGACGTGTTCCCCCCACTTGACGTGGACGTGTTCCCCCCACTTGACGTGGACGTGTTCCCCCCACTTTGACGTGGACGTGTTCCCCCCACTTGACGTGGACGTGTTCCTCCCCACCTCTTGACGTGGACGTGTTCCTCCCCACCTCTTGATGTGGACGTTTCCCCCCACTTGACGTGGAAGTGTTCCCCCCCACTTGACGTGGACGTGTTCCCCCCACTTGACGTGGACGTGTTCCCCCCACTTGACGTGGACGTGTTCCCCCCACTTGACGTGGACGTGTTCCCCCCACTTGACGTGGACGTGTTCCCCCCACTTGACGTGGACGTGTTCCCCCCACTTGACGTGGACGTGTTCCCCCCACTTGACGTGGACGTGTTCCCCCCACTTGACGTGGACGTGTTCCCCCCACACTTGACGTGGACGTGTTCCCCCCACTTGACGTGGACGTGTTCCCCCCACTTGACGTGGACGTGTCCCCCCCCCCCACTTGACGTGGACGTGTTCCCCCCACTTGACGTGGACGTGTTCCCCCCACTTGACGTGGACGTGTTCCCCCCACTTGACGTGGACGTGTTCCCCCCACTTGACGTGGACGTGTTTCCCCCCACTTGACGTGGACGTGTTCCCCCCACTTGACTTGACGTGGACGTGGACGTCTTCCCCCCACTTGACGTGGACGTGTTCCCCCCCACTTGACGTGGACGTGTTCCCCCCACTTGACGTGGACGTGTTCCCCCCACTTGACGTGGACGTGTTCCCCCCCACTTGACGTGGACGTGTTCCCCCCCACTTGACGTGGACGTGTTCCCCCCCACTTGACGTGGACGTGTTCCCCCCACTTGACGTGGACGTGTTCCCCCCCACTTGACGTGGACGTGTTCCCCCCCACTTGACGTGGACGTGTCCCCCCCCCCCCCCACTTGACGTGGACGTGTTCCCCCCACTTGACGTGGACGTGTTCCCCCCACTTGACGTGGACGTGTTCCCCCCCACTTGACGTGGACGTGTTCCCCCCCACTTGACGTGGACGTGTTCCCCCCCACTTGACGTGGACGTGTTCCCCCCACTTGACGTGGACGTGTTCCCCCCACTTGACGTGGACGTGTTCCCCCCACTTGACGTGGACGTGTTCCCCCCACTTGACGTGGACGTGTTTCCCCCCACTTGACGTGGACGTGTTCCCCCCCACTTGACGTGGACGTGTTCCCCCCACTTGACGTGGACGTGTTCCCCCCACTTGACGTGGACGTGTTCCCCCCACTTGACGTGGACGTGTTCCCCCCACTTGACGTGGACGTGTTCCCCCCACTTGACGTGGACGTGTTCCCCCCCCACTTGACGTGGACGTGTTCCCCCCACTTGACGTGGACGTGTTCCCCCCACTTGACGTGGACGTGTTCCCCCCCCCGTGGACGTGTTCCCCCCACTTGACGTGGACGTGTTCCCCCCACTTGACGTGGACGTGTTCCCCCCCACTTGACGTGGACGTGTTCCCCCCCACTTGACGTGGACGTGTTCCCCCCCACTTGACGTGGACGTGTTCCCCCCACTTGACGTGGACGTGTTCCTCCCCCCCACTTGACGTGGACGTGTTCCTCCCCCCCACTTGACGTGGACGTGTTCCCCCCCACTTGACGTGGACGTGTTCCCCCCACTTGACGTGGACGTGTTCCCCCCCACTTGAGTGGACGTGTTCCCCCCCACACCATGGTAGGACGTACAGAGATGGTAGGGACAGAGCTCTACACACCTAGGACGTACAGATACACCATGGGAGGACATACAGAGCTCTGACTGCACACCATGGGAGGACGTACAGAGCTCTACACACCATGGTAGGACGTACAGAGCTCTACACACTATGGTAGGACGTACAGAGCTCTACACACCATGGTAGGACGTACAGAGCTCTACACACCATGGTAGGACGTACAGAGCTCTACACACCATGGGAGGACGTACTGAGCTCTACACACCATGGTAGGACGTACAGAGCTCTACACACCAAGGTAGGACGTACAGAGGTCTACACACCATGGTAGGACGTACAGAGCTCTACACACCATGGTAGGACGTACAGAGCTCTACACACCATGGTAGGACGTACAGAGCTCTACACACCATGGTAGGACGTACTGAGCTCTACACACCATGGTAGGACGTACAGAGCTCTACACACCATGGTAGGACGTACAGAGCTCTACACACCATGGTAGGACGTACTGAGCTCTACACACCATGGTAGGACGTACAGAGCTCTACACACCATGGGAGGACGTACAGAGCTCTATACACCATGGGAGGACGTACAGAGCTCTACACACCATGGGAGGACGTACAGAGCTCTACACACCATGGTAGGACGTACAGAGCTCCACACACCATGGTAGGACGTACAGAGCTCTACACACCATGGTAGGACGTACAGAGCTCTACACACCATGGTAGGACGTACAGAGCTCTACACACCATGGGAGGACGTACAGAGCTCTACACACCATGGTAGGACGTACAGAGCTCTACACACCATGGTAGGACGTACAGAGCTCTACACACCATGGGAGGACGTACAGAGCTCTACACACCATGGTAGGACGTACAGAGCTCTACACACTATGGTAGGACGTACAGAGCTCTACACACCATGGGAGGACGTACAGAACTCTACACACCATGGTAGGACGTACTGAGCTCTACACACCATGGGAGGAGGTCACATGAGTGGGAGAGACAATCCCCCCCCCTCCCTGGCGTGAACCACTGATATCACTGGTTAACAACTCCCAGGTAATTTCCCAGCAATTAGCGATAAACGACAGGGAGATTAAGCTAATCAGCAAGAATTATTGCAGGTTCATCCTCTGGCGACTCCTGCATCGTTACACCGTCATCAATCATAACATTAACGAACCTGACAGTAATGATACATGTCTAAATCATGCATAAATCATGTGTATCATGCATGTTGCAAGCATGTTGAGGGGGCACCGGACATGCAATTTCAGTCCCAATGCATGGCCTCTGTAAGAGATAATGTCAATGTGTCGAAGTTTGGAGGCCAGATGCTCAAGGCTAGTCTCACGCAAAGATTTAAGAAGCAGTTACGCAAGCACTTACGAACCTGCCAGGGACCAGATTCAAGAAGCAGTTACGCAAGCACTTACAAATCTGTTCAGGGGTCAGATTCAAGAAGCAGTTACGCAAGCACTTACGAACCTACCAGGGACCAGATTCACAAAGCAGTTACGCAAGCATTTACGAACCTGTCCATCTTTCCTCAATCTTTGACGGCATTGGTTACATTTATTAAACAGTTTACAAGCATGAAAACTTGCCAATCAACTGTTATAAACAGCCTCCTGGTGCTTCGGAGCTCATTAACTGTTTAATAGTTGTAAACAAAGCCACCAAAGATTGAGAAAAGATGGACAGATTCGTAAGTGCTTGCGTAATTGCTTCGTGAATCTTGCCTCAGGCAGGTTCGTAAGTGCTTGCGTAACTGCTTCGTGAATCTGGCTCCAGGTTCATAAGGGCTTGCGTAACTGCTTCGTGAATCTGGCCCCTGGCAGGTTTGTAAGTGCTTGCGTAACTGCTTCGTGAATCTGGTCCTGCCAGGTTCGTAAGTGCTTGCGTAACTGCTTCGTGAATCATGCACCAGGGTGGTGGTGTTGCCGTAGTGTCAATTGAGGCTCTGGAATCCTACTCACCTGATGACTTTACAGATGAAAATTGAAGCATCATCAACAATAACTTTGCGGTGAAAGTTTGCAATGAAATATTCGTCTAATTATTGATTTCTCGAGAATATCCGGAACTTCAACACGCTCAAGAATAGCAAAGGTTAATGTGTGGCTGGTTAATGTGTGGCTGGTTAATGTGTGGCTGGTTAATGTATTTGTAGTACGTAGGTGAAGCATTTACAGCGTTGTGGTTCGAACAAAATTCGTCAGTGAAGCACTTGTTCCGGAAGTGTTCGAACCTCATCAGTTGTGAGTCGTGTGCAGTCCGTCCTCCAAACAAAGACCCAAAGTCCATTCCATGCACCCGCCAACCCCGCTGTTTATAAATGAAAACGGTTTACACACGACTCACAACTGATGACATTCGAACACTGCCGGAACAAGTGCTTCACTGACGAATTTTGTTCGAACCACAACGCTATAAATGCTTCACCCACGTACTACAAATACAAATAATCGCCAACAGAACCTAAACACCTAACCTAACCTAACCTAACATATGCACAATATGCTAATATATTAAAATAATAATTTATATTTGAGAAAATTGCAATTTTGAATGAATAGCATGATAAAATTTATGAATGCATCTTTGGGGTCGACCGCTGGATGGAATGGACTTGGTCTGAAGCCGAGTTATATGTTCATATATCTAAAACCTTTGTTTATAACCCATTTTATATTCATATACTTCAATTATTACCCCCATACTCTCCAAATGACTGGAGAGTATCATTCTCTTCCAAATGATTATTTAATCGTATAAGTTAAGATAAATATACATTTGAATGTAATAAAGTGTTGGTGCTAAGATTTCCTCCGGCCGCCAGGATAACTGACGCCGACGACGACTACACGGTGACGGCGGACCAGCGAGCCGCCCTCATGGAGCTCGAGTCCCTCACCTGGAACTATCCGACGCCCCAGCAGGCGGGGGGTGGCCGGGCGCCCTCGGCCCTCCCGCAGGCGCCTCACCTCCTCCATGACGAGGACTCCGACGACGACGATGACGACGAGGACTCCTACTGTGAGTTTTTTTTCTCTCGCTGTCGTCATGGGGTTATAGAGTTTATAGCATAGGTCACTCCAACACGTCGCTCAACACCTCACTGCACGCACACACGTGAGATGAGTGACGTGTTGTTCCGGCCTGCCAGAGGCCAGATTCACGAAGCAGTTACGCAAGCGCTTACGAACCTGGGGCCAGATTCACGATTTAGGTACGCAAGCACTTACGAACCTGTACACCTTGTCTCAATCTTTGGCGGCTTTGTTTACAATTATTAAACAGTTAATGAGCTCTGAAGCACCAGGAGGCTGTTTATAACAATAACAACAGTTGATTGGCAAGTTTTCATGCTTGTAAACTGTTTAATAAAGGTAACCAAAGCCGTCAAAGATTGAGGAAAGATGTACACAGTCATAAGTGCTTGCGTAACTGCTTCGTGAATCTGGCTTCAGGTTTGTAACTGCTTCGTGAATCTGGCCCCAGGTTCGTAAGTGCTTGCGTAACTGCTTCGTGAATCTGGCCCCTGTAATAGTAATTCCCGTTGTCCAGGGGTCAGGCAGCCTGTGTATATATACTTCACACTTATATCGAGGTCCTTCTATAGGCCGAACCTTCCTCAGGATTCAACCCCCACACACCAGTTGCCTAACTCTCAGCTGACTATTTACTGTTTGGTGGACAGACGCATTAGGTGAAAGGAAGTGTGCCTGCAATGCTATTGTGAAAGCCTCACCGTGAAAGCCATTGTTGAATACCGGCCAAGATGAGTACTCCAGGAGAGGAATATTGACACTAATATTTCGTCATCAGATGTGGACATGGTGCCTTACGACATGACGGAGAGACTGAAGGAGGTCAACCGGGCCCTCATAGAGGACCCCACGCCAGCTGAATGTGACCGAGAAATCACCGTCCGCTTCAGGGACGTCATCGCGGATTATCAGTCGCCCAGGGAATATTACCCGTCAGGTTAGTCACTCCTAAAATTACCTCATTTTCTATGATGGCTCCAATTCACCCGTTTTTTGTAAATATTAATTTTTCCTAATTTTCTTGATGGTGTCTTAATTCTCTTTATATACATTTTTTCCTTTTATTTAGGCCACATATCTAATCCAAATTTGCTAGTGTAGCATCTTGAATTATACTTGTCTTTTGTTCAGTGTAAACACTATACCCATTCACGGGGATATATCATGAAATAGACGCTTATAGATATTGCAATGTCCATGGACGCGAATTCGATCCCATTCCACAGCCCAATATGTTCTCAAATCTATGTATATCCATATGTAAATTACCTCTTGGTGAATGACCTGTGACAGGTTTAGTTATTTTAAACACTGCCAAGATTTTTGGATAGGTGAAATTATTGATTTGTCAAAAATAAGTGTTTTGTGTTCTCCGCTAAAATGGCTTTCTTGTCTTGTTCATTGATGTTCATTATTGTTCAACTCTTGTTCCTTATTGTTCAAATCAAGGGTGTGGAGTGGGTCATGGTGTGACCTGATGTCTGTAACGTTAGTAACGAAGGATTCCTTCACATGTGGAGGATTCCTCCAGATGTGAAGGTGGAGGATTCCTCCAGATGTGAAGGTGGAGGATTCCTCCAGATGTGAAGGTGGAGGATTCCTCCAGATGTGAAGGTGGAGGATTCCTCCAGATGTGAAGGTGGAGGATTCCTCCAGATGTGAAGGTGGAGGATTCCTCCAGATGTGAAGGTGGAGGATTCCTCCAGATGTGAAGGTGGAGGATTCCTCCAGATGTAAAGGTGGAGGATTCCTCCAGATGTGAAGGTGGAGGATTCCTCCAGATGTGAAGGTGGAGGATTCCTCCAGATGTGAAGGTGGAGGATTCCTCCAGATGTGAAGGTGGAGGATTCCTCCAGATGTGAAGGTGGAGGATTCCTCCAGATGTGAAGGTGGAGGATTCCTCCAGATGTGAAGGTGGAGGATTCCTCCAGATGTGAAGGTGGAGGATTCCTCCAGATGTGAAGGTGGAGGATTCCTCCAGATGTGAAGGTGGAGGATTCCTCCAGATGTGAAGGTGGAGGATTCCTCCAGACATGGAGGCGGAGGATTCCAAAAATAATGAACAATTTTCTCATTAAGAATAACCCCGTTATCCTGTGTCCGGAGTGGCCTCTCCAGGGTGCAAAGCCTGGGTATGTTGATATGGGGGAGAAGCTGTTACCCATGCAGCAGAGAAGCTGTTACCCATGCAGCAGAGAAGCTGTTACCCATGCAGCAGAGAAGCTGTTACCCATGCAGCAGAGAAGCTGTTACCCATGCAGCAGAGGAGCTGTTACCCATGCAGCAGAGAAGCTGTTACCCATGCAGCAGAGAAGCTGTTACCCATGCAGCAGAGAAGCTGTTACCCATGCAGCAGAAAAGCTGTTACCCATGCAGCAGAGAAGCTGTTACCCATGCAGCAGAAAAGCTGTTACCCATGCAGCAGAGAAGCTGTTACCCATGCAGCAGAGAAGCTGTTAGCCATGCAGCAGAGAAGCTGTTACCCATGCAGCAGAGAAGCTGTTACCCATGCAGCAGAGAAGCTGTTACCCATGCAGCAGAGAAGCTGTTACCCATGCAGCAGAAGAGCTGTTACCCATGCAGCAGAGAAGCTGTTACCCATGCAGCAGAGAAGCTGTTACCCATGCCATGTTACCCAGCAGCAGAGGAGCTGTTACCCATGCAGCAGAGAAGCTGTTACCCATGCAGCAGAGAAGCTGTTACCCATGCAGCAGAGAAGCTGTTACCCATGCAGCAGAGAAGCTGTTACCCATGCAGCAGAGAAGCTGTTACCCATGCAGCAGAGAAGCTGTTACCCATGCAGCAGAGAAGCTGTTACCCATGCAGCAGAGAAGCTGTTACCCATGCAGCAGAGAAGCTGTTACCCATGCAGCAGAGAAGCTGTTACCCATGCAGCAGAGAAGCTGTTACCCATGCAGCAGAGAAGCTGTTACCCATGCAGCAGAGAAGCTGTTACCCATGCAGCAGAGAAGCTGTTACCCATGCAGCAGAGAAGCTGTTACCCATGCAGCAGAGAAGCTGTTACCCATGCAGCAGAGAAGCTGTTACCCATGCAGCAGAGAAGCTGTTACCCATGCAGCAGAGAAGCTGTTGCCCATGCAGCAGAGAAGCTGTTACCCATGCAGCAGAGAAGCTGTTAACCATGCAGCAGAGAAGCTGTTACCCATGCAGCAGAGAAGCTGTTACCCATGCAGCAGAGAAGCTGTTACCCATGCAGCAGAGAAGCTGTTACCCATGCAGCAGAGAAGCTGTTACCCATGCAGCAGAGAAGCTGTTACCCATGCAGCAGAGAAGCTGTTACCCATGCAGCAGAGAAGCTGTTACCCATGCAGCAGAGAAGCTGTTACCCATGCAGCAGAGAAGCTGTTACCCATGCAGCAGAGAAGCTGTTACCCATGCAGCAGAGTAGCTGTTACCCATGCAGCAGAGAAGCTGTTACCCATGCAGCAGAGAAGCTGTTACCCATGCAGCAGAGAAGCTGTTACCCATGCAGCAGAGAAGCTGTTACCCATGCAGCAGAGAAGCTGTTACCCATGCAGCAGAGAAGCTGTTACCCATGCAGCAGAGAAGCTGTTACCCATGCAGCAGAGAAGCTGTTACCCATGCAGCAGAGAAGCTGTTACCCATGCAGCAGAGAAGCTGTTACCCATGCAGCAGAGAAGCTGTTACCCATGCAGCAGAGAAGCTGTTACCCATGCAGCAGAGAAGCTGTTACCCATGCAGCAGAGAAGCTGTTACCCATGCAGCAGAGAAGCTGTTACCCATGCAGCAGAGAAACTGTTACCCATGCAGTAGAGAAGCTGTTACCCATGCAGCAGAGAAGCTGTTACCCATGCAGCAGAGAAGCTGTTACCCATGCAGCAGAAGAGCTGTTACCCATGCAGCAGAGAAGCTGTTACCCATGCAGCAGAGAAGCTGTTAACCATGCAGCAGAGAAGCTGTTACCCATGCAGCAGAGAAGCTGTTACCCATGCAGCAGAGAAGCTGTTACCCATGCAGCAGAGGAGCTGTTACCCATGCAGCAGAGAAGCTGTTATCCATGCAGCAGAGGAGCTGTTACCCATGCAGCAGAAGAGCTGTTACCCACGCAGCAGAGGAGCTGTTACCCACGCAGCAGAGAAGCTGTTACCCATGCAGCAGAGAAGCTGTTACCCATGCAGCAGAGGAGCTGTTACCCATGCAGCAGAGAAGCTGTTACCCATGCAGCAGAGGAGCTGTTACCCATGCAGCAGAGGAGCTGTTACCCATGCAGCAGAGAAGCTGTTACCCATGCAGCAGAGGAGCTGTTACCCATGCAGCAGAGAAGCTGTTACCCATGCAGCAGAGGAGCTGTTACCCATGCAGCAGAGAAGCTGTTACCCATGCAGCAGAGAAGCTGTTACCCATGCAGCAGAGGAGCTGTTACCCATGCAGCAGCAGAGGAGCTGTTACCCATGCAGCAGAGAAGCTGTTACCCATGCAGCAGAGAAGCTGTTACCCATGCAGCAGAGCTGTTACCCATGCAGCAGAGAAGCTGTTACCCATGCAGCAGAGGAGCTGTTACTCATGCAGCAGAGAAGCTGTTACCCATGCAGCAGAGAAGCTGTTACCCATGCAGCAGAGAAGCTGTTACCCATGCAGCAGAGGAGCTGTTACCCATGCAGCAGAGAAGCTGTTACCCATGCAGCAGAGAAGCTGTTACCCATGCAGCAGAGAAGATGTTACCCATGCAGCAGAGGAGCTGTTACCCATGCAGCAGAGATGTTACCCATGCAGCAGAGGAGCTGTTACCCATGCAGCATGCAGCAGCAGAGGAGCTGTTACCCATGCAGCAGAGAAGCTGTTACCCATGCAGCAGAGAAGCTGTTACCCATGCAGCAGAGGAGCTGTTACCCATGCAGCAGAGAAGCTGTTACCCATGCAGCAGAGGAGCTGTTACCCATGCAGCAGAGGAGCTGTTACCCATGCAGCAGAGGAGCTGTTACCCATGCAGCAGAGAAGCTGTTACCCATGCAGCAGAGAAGCTGTTACCCATGCAGCAGAGAAGCTGTTAACCATGCAGCAGAGAAGCTGTTACCCATGCAGCAGAGGAGCTGTTACCCATGCAGCAGAGGAGCTGTTACCCATGCAGCAGAGGAGCTGTTACCCATGCAGCAGAGAAGCTGTTACCCATGCAGCAGAGGAGCTGTTACCCATGCAGCAGAGAAGCTGTTACCCATGCAGCAGAGAAGCTGTTACCCATGCAGCAGAGAAGCTGTTACCCATGCAGCAGAGAAGCTGTTACCCATGCAGCAGAGGAGCTGTTACCCATGCAGCAGAGGAGCTGTTACCCATGCAGCAGAGAAGCTGTTACCCATGCAGCAGAGAAGCTGTTACCCATGCTGCAGAGAAGCTGTTACCCATGCAGCTGAGAAGCTGTTACCCATGCAGCAGAGGAGCTGTTACCCATGCAGCAGAGAAGCTGTTACCCATGCAGCAGAGAAGCTGTTACCCATGCAGCAGAGGAGCTGTTACCCATGCAGCAGAGAAGCTGTTACCCATGCAGCAGAGGAGCTGTTACCCATGCAGCAGAGGAGCTGTTACCCATGCAGCAGAGAAGCTGTTACCCATGCAGCATAGAATCTGTTACCCATGCAGCATAGAATCTGTTACCCATGCAGCAGAGAAGCTGTTAACCATGCAGCAGAGAAGCTGTTACCCATGCAGCAGAGAAGCTGTAACCTATGCAGCAGAGAAGCTGTTACCCATGCAGCAGAGGAGCTGTTACCCATGCAGCAGAGGAGCTGTTACCCATGCAGCAGAGAAGCTGTTACCCATGCAGCATAGAATCTGTTACCCATGCAGCAGAGAAGCTGTTAACCATGCAGCAGAGAAGCTGTTACCCATGCAGCAGAGAAGCTGTTACCCATGCAGCAGAGAAGTTGTTACCCATGCAGCAGAGAAGCTGTTAACCATGCAGCAGAGAAGCTGTTACCCATGCAGCAGAGAAGCTGTTACCCATGCAGCAGAGAAGCTGTTACCCATGCAGCAGAGAAGCTGTTACCCATGCAGCAGAGAAGCTGTTACCCATGCAGCAGAGAAGCTGTTACCCATGCAGCAGAGAAGCTGTTACCCATGCAGCAGAGAAGCTGTTAACCATGCAGCAGAGAAGCTGTTACCCATGCAGCAGAGAAGCTGTTAACCATGCAGCAGAGAAGCTGTCACCCATGCAGCAGAGAAGCTGTTACCCATGCAGCATAGAAGCTGTTACCCATGCAGCAGGTTACTTTGATCAGTAGTAACTTATCCTGTTACTCTACATTGCATTAAAATATGTTGAGCATTGCGTCTAAAATATTTAAAAAATGTGTTAGAAATTGTTATAACAGTGTTGAAATGGGTCAAAGATAAATCTCCCTCCAGGGTCTGAGATGTGAAGATAAGTCTGACTAGTGGCAAAGGAAAGTCTATCCTATAATTTAAAGTCTAAAACAAAGATACAATTGATCTAATAGTACTTTGCCCTGAGGTGTTTTCGGGGCTTAGTGTCCTCGTGGCCCGGTCGTCGACTAGGCCTTAGAAGAAAGGAGAAGAAAGTCTGTATCCTCTGATTAAAAGTCTGAAATGTTAAGTACTGGGTGGTAAGCCTAAAGCACATTTTTGTTAACGTAGGTCTATAATTAAGCTTAGACTTATTATTATGCTGAAATTTACAATTGTTACATTCTAGCTAAATGACAGATAATAACGACAACAATGTATTTTAATATATTTAATTATAATGTTATTCCACATTAGGACATATATAATAAAATTTACCCAACCACTTGGGGTGGACGGTAGAGCGACGGTCTCGCTTCGTGCAGGTCGGCGTTCAATCCCCGACCGTCCACAAGTGGTTGGGTACCATTCCTTCACTCCGTCCCATCCCAAATCCTTATCCTGGCCCCTTCCCAGTGCTATATAGTCGTAATGGCTTGGCGCTTTCCCCTGATAACTAAAAAAAATAGAATATGAAATATTAATTTCTCCTGAATTTTGATGCCCTAATCTTAACGTAATTATGTCATTATATTCACCTCATTACAGACATTAATATCTGATTAAGTAAAGAAATCCACAAGGGCCGTGACGAGGATTCGAACCTACGTCCGGGAGCATCCCAGACACTGCCCCGAATGAGCTACGACAGGGTAAAAAGGTGCGAATCCTCGTCACGGCCCTTGTGGATTTGTTCATTTGATGCATCACGTTAGTGTGATCTCTGTGTGTAAATATGATTAAGTATTTTAAATACAATCTTTTATTGCTGTTTTCTTTAGCAGAAAGTTTACAAAGATATTTATAATGGTGGGACGAATGTCTAGTTCTGATCCTCTGTCTTATGATCTCACTTTCTTGTGATCTGATTTCTCTTCTTGTGACCTGATCCCCTTTTCATGTGACCTGATCCCCCTATCTTGTGATCTGATTCCTTTTCTTGTGATCTGATTCCTCTTCTTGTGACCTGATCCCCTTTTCATGTGACCTGATCCCCTTTCTTGTGATCTGATTCCTTTTCTTGTGATCTGATTCCTCCTCTTGTGATCTGATTCCTTTTCTTGTGATCTGATTCCTCCTCTTGTGATCTGATTCCTTTTCTTGTGATCTGGTTCCTCCTCTTGTGACCTGATCCCCTTTTCATGTGACCTGATCCCCCTATCTTGTGATCTGATTCCTTTTCTTGTGATCTGATTCCTCCTCTTGTGACCTGATCCCCTTTTCATGTGACCTGATCCCCCTATCTTGTGATCTGATCCCCTTTAGTGTGAACATGATCCCTTTTTCTTGCTATCCACTCCCCTCTGATGTGATTTCATCCCCTTTGTTGTGGCGAGAAACTGTATTAAGTGAAGCGCTTTTGTTGCAGACTCCGACGATGGCTACGGGGACTCGTCAGACCTCCTCTACGACGCAGAGGAGGAGGACGTGTTGGCCTCCCTCACTGCCGAGGTCAAAGAGGTTCTGGGAGGTAACGTCAACGTGATGGACCTAATGGCTGACCTGGCACAGGAGAACAGCTCTGAGGACCATAACAGCGTCGGGGTCAGTGTGGGCGACGCAGGTCAGGTCGACCTCAGTAAAGGGATAAAGAATGTTAGCATCACCGAAGAGCGTCAAGTAAAGTGGGATGCGAGCCAGGAGATAAAAGCGGATGTGCCCAGACTCCGGCTTGAGAGCCTCCCAGACAAGTCTCAGCTCAAACCTGCGGTAAATAATCTCATCCGGGAGGAGGAGGAAGAAGCGAGGTCGACTTCGCAGGTTCCTTGTGAGAAGACGCTGCTGAAGGTCGATGACTCGGGTCTGGCCGATCTGGAAACTTTCATGAATGAAACTGATACTAATAAGATGATAGAGTACTTACCGGACGCGTCTAGTGTTGTTGAGGGGGATAAAGGTGTTACAATGTCCCTCATAGAAGTCAATGAACGAGTGCATGTTGAGAGAGGACTTAGCAGTTTAAGTGACGTAGTAAATGCGGACTTAAGACTAGACGAATGTAGTGTAGGCGAAGAAACACAATCTAATCATTTATTTGAGATACGAGACTCGAGTGACGTAACAGAGCAAACAGATCCTCAGCTTTCAGCCATAATCGCGGCTGACATTGCTTACTTCGAGAACAGCGACGAGTTCGAAGATTCTCAAGACGAAGCAGATTCTAAAGACGAAGAAAGTTCCACGTTAACAGACTCCTCCCAGGCGCCAGCAGCCCTGCATGAGACAGAGACTGACCAGTTGCCTCAAGGCACTCCTCAGACGCAGGCAGAAGAACACACAAGAGCAAGCAGAAGGTCAGTTAGTCCAGACATTACACCACCACACACTTCACGCCTCACAAGCAGGAAAGATCAGAGTTCGCGACAATCTCCAGGGCCTTCATCACCTCCAGGGTCTCCGGGACCTATTTTTGAGAAAAGTAAAAGGAAAACTGGGAGGAAATCTCCGTCGGCGCCTGCCACACCTGCTGCACCTACCAGGACGAGGCCCAAGGCAGCGGCGGCCACCCAGCCCCTCATCAAGCCCGCTCTCCTGTCCTCAGAGAAGCTGAGCAGACTAAAGACTAGCGAGACGGCCCGCCACAGAACGAGAGCATCAGCAGGCTCACGGGAAGGCTCAAGATCTCTTCCTTTCAATTCTTCCTCTTCTTCCTCCTCCTCCTCTTCGTCCCCTCTCTCCTCCGCATCGTCCTCATCATCGACTACTTCTTCTTTATCAACACATTCCTCCCCGAACGTCCGCGGGCGCAACCGGACGGCCGTCAATGGTCCAGTGCGGCCCACCACGCACAGGTCGGCTGGGCCACCAGAGGGCAGCAGTGGAAGGGGCTTCAGTAGCGGTCCTGTGAGGTTACCGACCAGTGCCCATCATGGGTTGACCCTCACGCCCATCAGCCCCGCCCTCACGACGCCCGTTAACCCCGCCTTCACACCCGTCAATCCCGCCCCGAGAGGCCGAGTAGGGCCTCCATTACCCGGCAGGATACCGCCTCACGCCAAGGTTCGGAAGGCAGCCAGCGCCTCAGACCTTCACAAGTGAGTCAATAATAATAATAATAATAATAATAATAATAATAATAATAATAATAAAGTATATGTGAAAAACAGCAGCTTGTGGTAGAGAACAAGTGCAGTACTCTTGTCCATAAATGTTTGATATTTTCCCAATTGTTTTTGTACTGTTGAAAATTGTAGATTGACATATTAGACAAGATGAAACGGAAAAACGGAGGGACAGACGAGGACCTAACCTGTGGGAAATTTTTACCCACCATATCTAATAATCATCTAAGAAATGTATAATTTCTATATCATATCTAAATCATATCAAAATCATATCTAAAACGTATAAAAATCATATTTGAATTATTAAAGATTCATTTTATAGCTTGATCCTGGATGACAATGGCACCATGAACACGTACGCAACAGGGGCCCTTTTGATGCCTACGTGACTTTGTACATGATCTTTCAAGGATCCAGAAGCTTCTAGAAGGACTTCTTAATTAAAAAACTATTGGAACATTGATTCAACATCCGGTAGGATTAAAAATCGAATCCTTAATAAGATTCAGTGGTACTTTCAAATACTACTTATAATCTTTAAATCTTATATCTAATTATATTATAATCACATCTTATCTTAATCATAAGTCTAGACTGTAAAAATAATCAATCAATATTCATTGAAAGTTACCTCTCAAGGGAGAGAGAGGAGCACCTCGGGGGGCGAGAAGGGCCCACGACGATGCCTCGCGGCACTCCGCGTTTGTTTACAAATGAGTGAACAAGTGACTGATCCTTAGCGAACATTACCAGCTCAAGGACACCTTATCTAATATTTTTATCGCCAGTGAATACTCTCTAGAACTGGGGGAGTACCTGGACAATATCTAAAAGGAAAATCATAGAACATTCATAAAATAAGAGTGTATAGTGGAGATCACGGTGACACGGTTTCCTCCACCTTCATTCTTTATCTTTATCATATCATTCTTCTGCAACGCAGTTAAAGAAAATCACGTAGCAACGCTACCAGATCATCATACAGCAACGCTGTAGCAAAATATCGTGCCTAAACTCAACAAGAGAGAGTTAATCAGTCTGGCAAACTTGTCAGACAGGCACCCCGACTGGCAGAGAAGTATATTGAAGGTTATTTGGTGTATGATTGGCCAATTGTATGCTTGTGTAGCTTTAATATCCTATAAATCTGTCTGTTGGTTAAAAAGCGAGGCTAAGCCTCACAAATTGGTACGTTTATTAAAATTGTAGTGTAGCTGTGAATCTTATCCAAGCACTGAACCTCATGAGTGTCCATTCTGTCAGAAAAGAATTCAGCCTCAATAAGTAAAAACCTCATAAGTGTCCATATTGTTGGAAAAGATTCAGTCAAGCTAACTGTATAAAGTGAATATGTCTGCATATATATTTGAATATATAAATTAAGTTATCAATTGTTTGCTTAGTTAATTTTTAAGTTATCATATAAGTTCATTTAATTGAATATAATTTCTAGTACTTACTCAACAGTATTTAGACTACATTTAAGGTCATTTATTTATACTTTTACAATTAATTTGTTGTTTATAGTATAAGAACATATTGGCTGTTAAGTTATGGTACTAGGTTAGACTATGTATGTTTAAATCTCTGATTTAAACAGAGCCAGTGTTCAGTCAGATAACTGAATTTATCAAATCTTATCCTTGTATAAAATACAAGCTGATGTGAGATCCCTGTCTACAGGTGGATTGGAACTTCTATCAACATAGTCATTCACCCCACCTGTCCCTTACAGCCCACAGTTTGTCATTAGGAAAAGAGGATTTAGGATTTACAACCCTAGCTAGAGATTTTAATTGAATTAATTTGCAGACAGTAATTTTTTAATTTAGTTCAGTACAAGTCCCTGGTAGTCTCCTCTTATATCAATCCCAGCAGGTTTTTCCCACATTAATGGTCCTTCGAACCTAGATAATAATGGTCCTTTGTACCTAGATATTTATGATCATTCGTTTACCGAATATTTCAATGCCAAATACATAAGAAACTTCTTGATTTTGCATTGGAATAATTCTTACATATTCTAGCCTAACCTAGCTATCAGCCAATATTTATCATAGCTATATATCTAAGTAAACAAATAGTTTGCAGTGGCTTAAGCCACCATATCCATTAACTAGTAAGCATTCATAACAAACTGATACTGTTTTGTGTTAAGAAACCACAGTACTTAATTATATCAGTGTCACAGACACAATTGCATCTTAATCATAAATACCAATTATCTACCTCATTGTGGTAACATTACATGCATATTTAAGTGTATTATCTAGCATTATCTCTAATCTACTGATTTTCAGAGCTGCTCATTACATAATATTCTTTAAAAAAGTGTTATCATCACTGTAAGAGCATTCTTTACAATCTAACCATAATCAACTGTACAAACCCTATAACAGGTAAAACCAGTAGGCATTCTACTGTATTTTATCAATCAATTATTAGGGTAACAGATCTTGTAATAACTTTGCAAAAATAGTGCCATTTACTATTTTTAAAAAATTATTACAGGATTTACCAACTTGGTGCATTCGTGCATTCGGGTCACAAATCAAATTATTACAATACTTTTGATAATTGAACACCTGCTACAACCAGATTCCAGGGAGGAAATGAAGGACGATCTTTGGAATCATTACCTAAGTAGACAGGAAAGCTCATTTATCAAAATACATTAACATCATACATATTTATCAGAAAAAAGAGAAAAATCTCGGAATCTCCAAAACTCGGAAAAGGTCAAAATGACTAACAGTATTCCACCAGCTACTGAAACAGAAATGAAAAGGACACAAAGTGTCTAAAAAATCACTTGAATCTACAGCCTACAGACCATTTAAATCAGGTGATAGACAAATGTCATCATCACTTGGCTACAATAGTCTACAATTGGGGATTAAGACCAATCTTAATCTCACAACACAATCTGAAAGGCTAACAACCCATTGACAATGTCAATACAAATATTATCATCCATCTAAGATAACTATCTTAATCCAAGAATATAGTCTTGATCACCTAATCTCATGCTTTCACTGGAGTGAAAGCAGCCTCAGAAAATCTGAAGTTAATCAAGCATCTCAAAGAGACTTACTTAATAGAAAAGGCAAAGCCGAGAAAAAAAGAAAAAGCAAAATGCTTCATCACATCATGAATAATGTAGATACACATTATTACAGATACAATTCATCCTTTAAGGAAATCCTTGGAGGAGTACAAGTGTTACATGCTTGTATGACCTACTTGCATGTAATTACTTACCTACAAGTTTTACATACTTGTAACAACATCTTATCACAAAGCCAAATCTTTGATGGACTTCGAGCTTACGTACAAAGATTACGAAGCCGAGGAAAACTTAGATCTCAAGAAAAAATCCCCAAAGGTGAATCCACGGACAAAAGCAAAAATGTCCAGAATGGCAGTCAAAAATCAAGGCAACAAAATTCCTCTTCTGCAAAGTGGAAACAGAATAATGTTGGCTCTTATGCTATATCCCCCACAGTTAACAGAACTGTAGGAAACCAAGCTCCTAAGACAGATAAGACAAAAGGAGCTACAAGTGCCCCAAAATGTTTATTCTGTCAAGAAGCACATACCATTTATCAATGCACAGTTTATGTAGGCCGTGCCAGTCGAATCGATCGACTGAAATCTCTGAACAGGTGCATCCGTTGTCTACGGAAGCACGATACTAGTGAGTGTATCACTCAATTGCAGAACTGCCAATATTGTCATAAAAGTGTACATCACACAGCACTCTGTGGTGATATTAACACTCAATCCAGATCACAGACTTCCAATAATCAACCTGCATCTCAGGCAAAGCCCAAAGATGATAATACCACAACAGCCGTACAATTCTGTACAGTAATGAGCAATGTCAACGACTTGGATACAGAAATTGTTACAACAGCCATATTGCCTACTGCACAGCTAGAACTATGCAATCAAGGAATTTGTATTCCAACTAGAGGCTTTTTTGATCAAGGGTCACAGAAAACCTTTATCAGTAAAAAGATGGCAGAAGATTTACAACTTAAATCTTCAAAGCAAGTATCTACATCCATATCAGGGTTTTTTACTAATTCTGGTCGTAGAACCTTTCCAGTAGTAAAACTCAATGTCTGTCTAGGTACATCCCAAAGGACAGTAGAAGCCATAGTAGTTGATAAAATTCCTACTGAAATGGAAGTGACTGGTCTGACAGCCACAATTAAATTCCTAAAAGAAAAAGGAATCCAATTAGCAGATCCTCTACTTGATTCTGACTACATAGGAGATATCGGAATCCTGATTGGAGCTGACTACTATCATCGATTCATTCTGGGATCAGAAGAATCTATGGGTATGAATATACTCAAATCAGCAGGAGGCATATTGATGACAGGACCTATACTAGATCTTGAACCTTCAACTCCTGAAAAATCACATCATACAGAAACTGTAATAGTGGCATGACTAGGCAAAGAACAGTCACCACTTAAAATCCCCCACATGATTGATGATGGATTAGAATCTGTACCTCAATTGTGGGAACTTGATGCCATAGGAATAATTCCTGAACAACCAAGTCCTGATGATGTCTGTGCATACAATCAGTACTTGGAAACTGTACAGTACTATGATGGACAGTACTGGGTAAGGCTACCATGGAAAATCAACCATAAAACCTTACCTACCAATTATCACATGGCTTATAGTCAATTTAAATCTCAACTAGCAAAGCTAAGAAAAAGGCCTGAGCATTTAAAACTCTATCATGAGATTATTGCTCAACAATTAAAGAATAAATTCATCGAAGTCGTGAAACATGACAATACGCAAACAGGCCATTTTTTACCTCACATGGCTGTAATGAGAGAATCAAAAACAACTCCTTTACGGATAGTTTTTAATTGTAGCTCTAAATCTGGACCCCAAGGAACCAGTCTAAATGATTGTTTGCAAACAGGTCCAAGTCTAACTCA